CACTCTCTCTCTCTTGTGCGAACGCGCTCGTGCACACACATGAACACTGGAAAACACCTTGGAAGAGGTGATGCCTTGTCCTCTCTGAGTGACAATTCAGCCGATTGTCATCCCTCTCCGGCATTCAACTAGACCATACCTTGGAGGAGGTGAAGCTCTGTCCCCTCTAGGAGATGATTTGAATTGATCCTTGTCCCTTTCTGCGCATCTGATCAAGCTGCTGCATTCATGTCAGATCAAGATGCCGCGCCTGCTGTTGCAGATCAGTCAGTCTCTGCCAGCACTGATATGTGGGTCCTTTTTTTCAAAGATCGTTGCTGTGCCATGCCATTCTATGAGCATGCAGGTATGGTCCGGCTATCATGCGCATAGCACAATCTCTGCTGCGGAGGGAGGATCACTGACAGCCTGCGCCATGAGAATTGTGTTCCATCGTTATCGTGCATCCGTTCTCCCTACCGGATTAATAGCTGACGGATATGCTGCGGTGGCCTTGGCATGCCTTGCATAAGCAATTGTGAGCGGACTGTCTGCTCTCTCTTCGAGAACATGTATGTCTGGCAGCTGTTGCGAGGAAGCTGTCGTAGTATGTGTCCATACTGCGTGAGCTATTCGTGATGTCACCCGCCATCCTCAGTACTGTCGGCATGCTCTTCGCTCATGTGCACATGCAATGCTGGAATCTCATGTCCATGTGCGATGCTGGAAGTCCTCCGATCGCATCTGGGATGGAGCCCCTTCCACCCATCTTGGACTATGGACTGATATAACAGCCGGAGGTGGAAAACAGGCTGCTGCTACCCATCTGTGGTGCAGTGCACTGGATGGGTATCACCTCCAAGGGGAGCAGCGCTCATCGGAGACGAGTCCTTGACCGTCCTTCCTTTGGATCCAACCATGTCATCGTGTCTGCAGACAGGCTATGTTGGTAGCACAACTACGAGCTAAGCAAACTCTCTTGTCAGCGCCGCGCTCAGCAACGACCTGGCTGATGTTCTCTTGGAACGTGAATGGTTGTTGTCTGTACTGCGAGCATTCTAAGGGTACGGTCCATGCACATCTCTTTATGTCCACATCTTCTCTGACACTCACCTTGTACGCGGACCCTCTTATGGTATGTGTCCTCTCTCTAGAGTGCGATCGACATTGCAGTGCCTATATAGCTACGATCGCCACGTCGCTATGTTCCTAGCATGTGCAAGCAGTGTTGCGGATGATATCTGTCTGCGCTGTGCCGTTTGCAACACTGACTGCAACTGTGCAGATTGGATGTGGTGGTCCACAAGCCATGCCTGAACCGTGCTTGCCCGGTTTCTGCCCGTGGCCGCTCACCGTAGGTAATACACTGCTTCTGCTTTCATCCTTCTGAGCAACCTGACTCATCAGTGGCCAGTGGTAGTCTGTCATGCCAGTCTGTTTTGTGCCGGTGAATCTTCAGCATTTAATTGGGGTCCTCCTCTCCCTCCCCCCCCGCATTTCCTCCTCCTTTCTCCTCATTTCTTCCCGTTTCCTTCTCTTCCCTCCTTCTGCTGCAAAATGTCCCTGGCCAGAGCTGCTTATTAGTTCGAACGAGCGAGCATCACTAAGACAAACAAGCAAAGTTGAGTGTTCAAGTGTGCCGAAAGGCAGATTTCTGTATAAGCATCTCTTGCTCAATTATGCAAATGTTGCCTCACTGGCTAGCCTCGCAACCATTGACATTTTGCAGCGGATGCATGATCTGCTATTAGCAAAACTTTTGTGATCGCTTCTTTACTCCCCGGCCCCCTGCCCTTGAAAGGGAACTGCTCCATTTGTGGGAACAATCGACATGGAAAGACTGTTTTTTAATTATAACCTCTTATGTATCCGGGTGGAAAAGAAGGGGTTGATGTGCTGATCGGTTATATTTCAAAACACACATGATCACTCTCTCTGCAGCAGCATCTGTTTCACTTCCATCAGAGAAGAATCTCCATCCCTTGAAGACTGTATGGTCATGGCTCCTGGAATTATTTACTGCACTGAGGGCAGGCACTCTGAACCACCAGTCCCTTCGAGCCTTTTTCCGGCCGGACTTGGACTCCTGCCTGCTGCACGCCCTGAAAAACAAGCTGTGTTAAACAGGGGCTGTTGGTTCAACGGTAGGCAGTTGGCTTCCCTCTCTCTGTCTCGCTGACCTTCGGTCTCCTCTATCTGTTTTTCTTTGCCGCCTGTGCGGTGTCTTGTCTCTCTCGGTCTCTGTCTATGTCTCTAACTTGCAGCGGAATTGACGCAATTGCTGGGAAAGGGACTGTTGGTTTGCCTGTAGGCAGTTGGCTTCCCTCTCTCTTTCTCGCTGAACTTCGGTCTCCTCTATCTTTTGTCTTTTGTCTCTGCGTGATGTCCGGTCTCTCTCGTTGTGTCTATGTCTCTAACTTGCAGCGGTATTTGTGTCAAATTTGTGACCAATTTGATGCAGGATTGACGTTCAGAGCAATATGAAGCGATTTTCGCGCTTGTATACGGTACGGACTGCATCCCGAACTTTGTGTCTGCCTTTGACTAAGTTTGTGGATAACTTGTCGGTCGGTTTGACCCCTTTTTCGTTGGTTCGACCCCTTTTTCGTTGGTTCGACCCGTTTGTCGTTGGTTCGACCCCTTCTTCTTTGGAGTGTATTTTCATGAAGTCAGCAAGGACATCACAGTTGGGTGTGATATACCAAGAAGGGGAGATGGAGGACTGCACGTGCCAGTCTACAGCAAAGTGGCAGCATTTCAAATCTAACAGCGTTTTGCACTTGACCTTGCTGGACCTCATCTTCCAATTTGATGATGCAGTGTGAATATAGCCTTATCTCAGTTATCTGCTAATTTGGTGATGCATTGTGAATGTGGCCTCATCGTTCAAGATGGTGACGGGTCACACAAGTGGGTGGTTATCCAAAGATGGTGACGGGCCACACAAGTGGTGGTGGTGGGCGGGGGGGGTTGTCCAAAGGTGGTGACGGCTCACACAAGAGGGGGCCCCTTCGAAGTTCGAAGGGGCATTTACATGGGTGCATAATCTGCAGATTCTGCACGTCTTTTTTTTTTTTTTTTTTTTTTTTTTCCTTTCAATCTTGACGCTTCGTAAAGGAATCTCAAGAGACCCTCAGTCAGGAATTTTGTATTGTAATTCTCAGAAACTCTGTACTTTGCTGGGATTGTCTGCCATCCTTCCAGCACGGCGTCTGGCCTGAGCTGACCCGGCGCCGTGGGGCTTGGCAGTTTCACCTTTGGAGGTATAATTTGGCAGGCGTCGTCTGCATATGATGTATAACTCGTTAGAGCTTGCGGGAGGATGAAGGGTGTGAAAATTGACTAATTATGTAGGCTACCAGCCGGGCCGCCCGGGTGACCTTGTTTTCCCGGTCAGCCCGGCCGTGCAAGGGCCAAAGTGGGTCCTAGCAAAAAAAAAAAAAAAAAAAATCGAAAAATTCTGCAAGAAAACATGTTATGCAAACAAATAAACTGAACAACTTTTGCCTCAGGGTCACATCGAAATTCTTATCCAAATTAAAAATTAAAAGTAATTAAATAAAGTTAAAAATATGTTTTTTAATTTTTTTTTGGCCCGGCCGGGCAAGTGGTCCTGGGCCACTCTGGTAGCCCAGCTAATTATAAAAAAGTTAGAAAAACTCCTCTTTTAACTGTGTGTGAATATTTTATAAAAAAACTCCGCGTGTAACTGTTAAAAATAGTTGTAGAAAACTCCTCTTGAGACTGTGGCCACCAGGGTGCCATTAGATGTGTGTATCGGTAGCAGGCAGCTTATCGAAGCTTCGGCCCGACGAATATCATCGTATATGTTTTCTTCAGCAGCTCGCATGAAATCTGTCACTACTGATTGTTGGCATGCTTAGGTGGGCTGCAGTTTGATCATCTATGCTGCAAAGGTGCACCTGAGGTATGTGCGCGTCTGGACGTCTCTTAAACCACTGGTACATCCAGCTATCGGCCGCCGGCCCTTTTCGGAGGCCGCCCGCCGGCGATTCATTTTATCTACGACGCTGGCCTCCAAAATTTTCGTACGCGACGAATTTCTTTTCAGCAAGGCTGGGGCCGTGTGTACTGGTGCTTTATGCCTCAACTCTCCTGTGTCCTTCACTGCACAGTGCATTCCCTGTGCAGTTGCGGTTTGTTCGTCATGAGTGTTGTCAGTTGCCAGTCGCCCCTGGTGAGTGTAAGGGGGGGGGAGTTCAGGAGACAGCATGCCACTCTTGAGGGTAGTAGGGGTGTGTGAGGCAATCTCCTTGGCCTCCTTGCATTTGTGCAGACGTTTTGTGTTTGTCCCCGGGGGACCATCAGTGCGGCCCCGTTTAACAGAAAGTCAGATGCAAGGTATATGTGAATGGCTCACACTGCGCGTCACTCTCACTCCTCGCTATGGCCAGGAGTTAGGGAGGCTTTATCGTTTTATTGCGACCAGACTCATTTTCTTTCTTACTCAGCATGCATGAAAACAGATGGCAATCACGGTGGCGACGAGCGCCCACACAAAGCTCAGAGATATCGTGGCCAAGAACGCAGTTCAGATTCAACTTGCTTCGAATGGCTATGGCGCCTGTGCGCCCTCACAACACCTTTCCACGCTGTATCCTCAGCAACTGTTCACACGCACGCTACTCGGGATCTCCCTGGATGTCCCACACGCGCACACAGCTCACTGCAAACTCATACACACACGCTTTAGCCTATGTCTACCCTGTAGCAGCTATGGCTGCGTTCTACCTCTACCATTAACTAGCGGCTATCACCGCTTCGTCTCCCTCGCAGCCCTCTTCTCCCTCGGGCACTTGCACACCTCCTTGCACAAGTCGCTCTGGCAGCACTTCCGCACGGCTTGCAGTCTGAATGAATGAATAACTCGACACTGCCTCTTGATTTATACTTCGGTTGGTCGCTGGTCTGCTCCTTTCCACCGGGCCTAGGTTGCACACACTTCCACACGGTACTTACTGACTGGACAAGGTGCGACTGGGACTGGGTACTGCTGACTAGGCGAGGTTGGACTCCCACTTGCCCACTTGCCTCTGACCCGACCCTGGCAAATCTCTGAAGGCCACTTCCGGACCTTCCGGAAGTCTGTAGACTTGGCCTTTTGGGACTGTAGCAGCTACGATCTTGACCTTTCGGGACTGTAGCAGCTACGATCTTGACCTTTCGGACTGTAGCAGCTACGACCTCGACCTTTCAGGACTGTAGCAGCTAGGACTTCTACACAGCTATGACCCCTACTTGACAGACCTACGGTTCAAAACCCAACAACTACACAGACCTACGACAGGCAACAACCAACTACCAAGACACAGGTCATGGGTTCAAACACACATGGGCCGACTTGGCACTGTACACTGGTGAGGACAAGGTCACGGGTTCGAACACACGGGTCGACTCTGGTACTGTACAGTGGGGAGGACAAGGACTCGGGATCGAGCCTTGGGATCTGCATCTGCTACTGCAAAGGTGAAAACCGTTTCAGTATCCTGTTCCCCCACTAATCTTCTCTCCTTCCTGCGGCGTTTCTTGTTTTGTCAATAAAAAAGGGGCGACAGCCTTGGATGTATCATCTCCGAACTGACTCCCCCCCCTGTGCTCATCTGATTCCATTTCGATTCCAACTCAGGTCTGCTCATCGACAGTTTATGGTTGTACCATTCAGCCACATGGCCTTGGTTATCTCCACCCTGTTTCTTCTCCAGTCTCTCTCTCTTTTTTTTTTTTTGAAGTTCTCTTTTTTTTGAAGTTCTCATTCTCATGAATGACCTTGTAGGAAGTCGGACAATCCTAGCCCCCAGTTGGTAAACCCGTGAACGTTTTGTAATACACAAGATTACACACCCAAGTTCGAATCCGGATGCAAATGAACAACATATTTCTGCATTGGCTGGGCCCAGTAAGCTCAATGATGACATCTCAAGGTCGTCGCCCTTTATGAAGAAAAGGCGGAAGAAAATAAAAAAAGGAGAAAAAAGAAGAAGCCAGATCTTCAAGGTGTGTTTATATTGTATCGCCGGGATTCGCCGGAAGAATACGAACCGGACTGGCACTTCCTAGAATGGATGGGAGCCAGGGGCATAAAAACCTGTTCAATTATTAAAAAAAAAAGAAAAAAGAAGAAAAAAAGAAAAAAAAGAAAAAAAGAAAAAAAGGAAAAAAAGGAAAGGTGCGGCGGAGTCAGGGTTGCGAGTTTGAAAATGCACTTCAGGTAAAAGGTGTGAAAATGGCGAATGTATACGAGCGAGGTTTCCGGTCCGGCAGGGTCACGTGGGGGGGTGTTATGTGCAGGGGAATGTCTGGATTGCATTTTCAAAAAATCTTTTTGTGACTGCGCCATAGCTACACCCCCCTCCCCACACCCCACCCCCACCATAAAAAGCCATATTTTGGTTGGCAACTTGTGATTCTTGTCAAGTCCCATGTCTGTTTGTTGAACTTTGTTTCAGTTGATCGTAATCTGGTACGTTTTGCGGCAACTTTTGCCGGATTTTATGTTGTGGTTATTTATTGTGATTTATTTTGTGTGTGTGTGTGTGTGTGTGTGTGCAGTACATATTGAACGAGATTGTGCTTAGTTCTGAAGGGATGATAAAAGTGCCAGTGAAGGTGAAATCCTGTCCTCGTCCTTCCGCCGATGAAATACTGAAAGGATGTGTGTGGATTAAAGGCTTATGGCTTTGTGAAATCGTAACTATCTGTCGCCGTTCGGTGTCTCTAACCTCGTGAAAGATGTTTTGTTTTCACTTTCGTTCCATAAGATGAGGCAAAAAATGCTTTTACGGGGTAGGAGTTTATGCTGATGCTTCTACGGGAGGCCTACTGAATCATTTGTGCCCCTGTTCTCTATTGCTGCTACCTGTTCCTTGGAGGCAGACCCTTGGACATGGTTGGTCCAGTCTTGTCAGGTCGGCGGGGCGAATGTGTGATGTGCGTCACGCCGGCAACTCTTATATGTGTCTGGGTTGGCAGCCAGTCAGTCATGGTCTGGGTTGAATTAAGGGTTCAGCCTTTTGTGTGAGCGGTCACGCGAGTGCGTAAACCGCCAGTACATGGCCCCAGCCTTGTGTGGAGACTTGTTCTTCACCTACTCCGAAAAAGTCGGAGCCGGCGCGCCGTTGAAAAAATAAGTAAATTACATCGGCGCCCGGCATCGCGTTTCAGCCTCTGAAAGGGGCCCGCCGCCGATGTATGGCATGCACTGGTGGTTTAAGCCGCCGCCGGTACCTCGCCCAGTCAAACTGGAGAATGGAAAATGCCGCATTCCAGGTTGTTTGGATGAGCAGTGCCGCCGGAGCAAAACGGCTGGTTGCGCCAGGCGAGAAGTAGAGAAAACGGCAAAACAACGCATCTATGGTGGAGTATTCTTTTGTTTTTCTGTGGAGAAGGGAGTGAAGATCCCCCCCTTTTGGCCAAAAAAAAGGGGCTCAGAGGTACTTACTGGTGGTCCAAGTCTGTGTTCTGCCTTCTGTATGAGGAGTGACTGGTGGGGGTACTCTGTGCTGCTACAATTTGAATTGTAGGTGGCCACAGGATTTTCTGCATCCTCTCATATGCGAGGGGTCTTAGCGTAAATTCATTGTGAAGGCTCGTGGCCCCGAGGTCTCTTTGCTTTCCCCTCTGTGCCCTCTCTACCTTTAGCCTTACCGTCTTTTCACCCGAACAGAACGCCCGGTCATTCATTATAGCCGTATTAGTTGAATTTTCAGTCCAGATACTGATATAATGAGCGGGCGACGGGCGTTCTATTTGGGTGAAGACAGTAGGAATTGCGAAAGGTGTCATGGCCAGGGCTGCTGTTGAGTGTTACACGCTGACAGATTTTTCTTCTTGAATTGCGAAAGGTGTCATGGCCAGGGCTGCTGTTGAGTGTTACACGCTGACAGATTTTTCTTCTTGAATTGCGAAAGGTGTCATGGACAGGGCTGCTGTTGAGTGTTACACGCTGACAGATTTTTCTTCTTTTTTTTTCCGTTCCCCCCCCCCCCCCCAACCCCTTTTTTCAACGGAAAGTCTGTCGCTTTGTGGATCTTTTGGAGGGCATTGATTTCTGTGGTGATGTGCATTCATTGCAAGGAGGCTGTTGAGTGGAAAGCAATCAATGTTCACACCTTCACATGGCATGGGACAAATTTTCTTGGTGTCATTGTCTTGTCTCACTGGCAAGTTTACGCTACAATGCTCTACTCAGTTATGTAGACTGATGCTGCACTTGTGATTCGCTAGAATAAACCACGAGGCGGACCGAGAGGAAGGTACGGCGGGTTAACCGACGCCATTTTGGCATTTTGTGAATGAATTTAACTGGGCGCAGGTTGGCCTGTACACACATGAAACGGCGACGGTTCACCCCTTTCCAATAGCAAGGTGCGATGGGTTAACCGCCGCGATTTCGTGAATGAATTTATAACTGGGGTGTAGGCCACGGCCTGTGTGCATATACACGGAACGCTGACAGTTAACACCCCCACCCCACCCCACCCCACCCCACCCCGCCTTGCTCTTGAACTGTTGGCTTAATAGCAATGACACCACAAAAGCTTTTTCTTTTTTGTTTTTTTCCACAGAAGCTTTTAATCTTCTGTGCTGTCACTGCTATTAAAATGAATCAAATCACAACATCGCAATCGAATTGGCAAAACAGTTATACTGAAAATATTAAAATAATGAAATATAGAAAGGGATGGAACAATTGTGAACTTGTGCAGCTCCAACACCAGGTCACGAGTTTGATTCCAAGACCTACCATGTGGCGGCTGAAAGGTAGATCCATGTGCCTGTTACTAAACCGGTTGTGAGTTCGATTCCTCATGGACCGAGACAGATACGATACGATTCGGAGGTACCCTCTTATAAAAAGAAGAAGGAAAAAAAAGACGGATACGATAAGGCTACCGTCTTCCCCCGAACATAACGCATATGCATTGTAAAACGAATACAACACGTAGCTTGCTTTTCTAGCATGCGCATTGTAAACGAATACACAACGCATAGCTCGCTTTCTATTCAGATACGACGCATGTGCGTTCTATTTGCATTTTTGCATTTTTCGAAAACTTGAATACAACGTGTGTGCGTTATGTTTGGGGGACGACGGTAGTGGCTACCCCGCTATGAAAAAAGGAAGTCAGACTTCGATCAGGATACGCAGTTTGTGTACACACGACCAAGTTTTGTAACCGTCTGATATTAGACTTGGTTGGTTCACAGTAATGTGGAACGTGTCTGTAAATACTAAATTACTTAGTTAAATTATTTAAATATAATCATTCGAACAATTTTGCTTGGGCCATGCTCCGCTCTTATTATGATTTCATTTCAAGGGGCACCCACCTGAAGGAAAACAGGAGAAAAAAAAAAAAAAATGGTCACATTGATAATTGATTGTGTTGGATGTAATTGCCATGATAATGCGGACCTTCACCGTTGTAAGAAATGATCCCACTCACACAGACATTTTCTGTCCAGGCACGGAAGGACCTTGTTCTGCTGGTGTCGAGGTTCTACTTCTTCTATGAAGGAGGTAGGTTTTGAGTCTGTTGTAATGCTTCCCCTCCTCATTGAGGGGGGGCGCGTTGACATGTGGCGTCGCTCATTGTTTGCCAGTGTGTCTCTGTGGTAGTCTATCGTAAGCCACAACTCACTTTTTCAGAGATACGGGGCACTTGGCCTCTCTGTGAGACTGGCATGTGTTTGCTTGTGGCGAAGTGTGTGGGTCTGCAAGTATGTGTCTGGTCTTTCAGGAACGACGAGGATTGACGGAATCTGTCCTTATCAAACTTGGTGCCAATGCTCCAGTCACCTCTGTTTGCTGGCCAGGAAGATTAATTGCTCAGCAATATATATACACACACATGACCACATCATCAGCATTGTCAAAACACGTAGCACTAAGGAAGTTGCAGATATCGTAATCACAATGCTGTGAATGTGTGTGTGTGTGTGTGTGTGTGTGTGTGTGTGTGTGTGTGTGTGTGTGTGTG